TGATTGAACTGGCAATAGAGAACAGCAAGGCCAACCACGTTGTGATAAACATCTTTGCTCCAAAGTTGACTTGGACACCATAGGTCTGCAAGTTATTCTTGACGACGGAAGCGAAAAGACCATACAGCACCATGACCAAGATTGTGGCAGTCGTAATGAGCGTTGATGAAAGCTTGGTTTGTCAGCATCTTTCTATGTTCTCCCGATTATCACATACCGTGCAAAATATGGCAAGTAACTTGCTACCATTGGAAAAGAAAAACTTGCGACCAGCCAAGATTATGGTCAACGTGGTTGCCACAAACCCGGAAATATACAAACGGATCGCACTCAGCGAAAGTTGACGGTAGCCGGAAATCAGACTTTGGTCTATTTCTGGAAGTATGTCGATGACCTTTATTGGCGTAGAGTCAAGCAAGGCAGATAGATCGAAAGAAAAAGATGTGCTGGGGTGGGAGCACACCATCTCCGAGCCATCCTTGGATTTACAGTAGCTCCAGAGGCCAACAAAATAGTATCGAGGCAGATGTGACTTCAAGTCGTGCACCTGGGCTTGAATCATGCTGCTGACAGCGGACGTTGCCTCATTAGTTGCTTCATGTGCGCTGGTATGGACGCTAGAGGCCACGCCTTCGATGGCATTTCTTCCCCCTCTCTCGAAACGCGCATTGTCAATATTGAACGAATCCCGAATTTGTAAATCAGGTAGCTTTGGAAAATCTTTCAGGTCTACCTGCCGATTTCTTAGCTAGGTGATTATAACTGAAGTGTTTTCGGTCGTTTCTTACTTGCAAGTAATGCAGACCCCTCGGAGAGGAAGACGACGAACATCCGACAAAGATAAAAGATAGACAAACCAAAACCGCGACAGAAAAAGACAGTGCCGTGGTTGAAACTAGCGAATCCAGTTTGCTCTTGGTGGAAAGCTTCATGGTTCACAAGCGAGAAGCGAATGGAGCGTATCTTAACCGATTATGACCTTGACATCCGGGTAACATTTGAGAATCATGTTGCATCGCAATGCAAGGAAGCTCTTTATAAGAGTCCAAGATATGGTCAGCTTAGTCCGTGTGGACAGTATTCGGCAAACCAGATAACTGAGGCCGGCGCAATTTTCCGCCTCACTCCATGGGCAGTAGTAGATAAACGTGGCAGATAAACTACCAGCAGAAATGAGCTTCCCATAATAAACAGCTGTGCTGGTGCAGGCAGATAATTGACTGCATTGACGGCTGGAATAGGAGGGCATGCAATAGATCGTCGAATTCAGATCTTTGGCTCACAATTTTTCCCAAAAAGGTTCAGTAATAAAGCTGGTATAAATACTACTGTACGGAGTCTCCCTCGACACATTGTTCTCGCGTCATTCTATACACCTGCTCATCTGCAACTCACATGTGACTTGTACTGGCTCCCATCATGTCACCTTCCAGGCAAGCAGAAGTTGAACTTTGGGAGCGAAAGTTATACGACTATAAAGAACGCCATTTCGAGCTATCTGCTAGAGTGCATATTTCTCATCTCGTCTTCGAAGCCGGGTTCAGAAGACAGATGGACGGCCGGCAGAACATCCGCCGATTGAAACAAATGATGAAGATTCAAGGGTGCCAACGCTTGATGCGGGACAACCATGTACCAGTGATAGTTCCCAGAGCTCATTGGCAAGATCGCGTACGTCCGCGATCTGGCAGTGGAGTCATGTCTACCTTGGAGATGGGGTCAGATTACCGGTTGTGCGCGTACGATCACGAAAATCTCATCACGGCTGCCAAGCATGTCCTCGACTACGACAACCAGTGGTGGATTGTAGATGTGTATCTAACAGATAATGATGAAGGTGCGTTTTCTCGGCTCTAGCTCTCTGAGATCCCCGTTGACAATTCCCTAGCCTCGCCCGAGAACCACAGCAATGAGGTAGAGTCTGTTCGTCACAAGTTCATTCAATCGCTGAAAGAGCGATACCCAAACGACAATCGCCCACCCGATGGACTGATTTACGAGCGGATCAATCGCTACGAGGGCTACCTCAACACGCCGAGGGATCCACTCGCTGCGAATAACTGGTGGGCTGTACTGGAGGCCCTCGCGGGAAGTAAGCGAAGTAAGAAAGGAAAGTATTTGAAACAATTCTTCAAACATGAGACCTTACACCTGAAGCTAAACTCTTTGCTTGTCATTCCGGGTCTTTGGGAAGGCATGCGGATTGGGCTACTTCATAAGGTGACAGCAATGCATTGCGATGAGGTGAGTTTACTCGGAAGCCCAAAGCTAATCGGATCCATTTCGGCTAACTGGTTACAAATCTAGCCAATAGCTTGCTATTGGGAACTGATCTTCAGCACCTTTTCGAGATTGCTTGGAGGAAGAGACGAGCTTTTACCACTTATTGACGGAGTCACGGTGGATCTGGTTCAATCTCGCGCTCCTAAAGTCTCCAACAAAGATTTGAGGGTTTTGCAAGACGAGTTAGAGGAGGGCAGGCTATTTTCGAACTACTCGGAAGCAGCTCGACGAGAGATATGGGCGCGTTTGAAAGAGATTGATTATCCAATTCCAACCTTGAAAACATTTTTCAAAGATCGGCTCTACCTTGAGGTCGCTCAAAGTGTCATGAAGCGGCTGTTCGTCCAGCCGCGAAACGAAAAGATCACCATTGACCAGGGTGTGTACGAGAAGTACGACACTCAGGTCCCCGTCTCAATGGCGTTGAGACAGCAATGGCTAGGAGACGACCTACTCGAATTTTGGCGCTTCAGTTTCCAGTACGGATTTGAAATGACCAATCATCAACGCCTAAAGTGGCCCAAGGACGCTGATCCCGTAGGGTTGTTTGGTCAGCAGAGCTCCGAATCGTCGTTTCTCTCCAAACAAGAGATATGGCGCCACTTCTTTGCACTCGTGAGGGCTAGGTCATTCCAAGCACCAGTCACAGACGACACCTCATTTCCAACGGGGGAATTACCTTGCCCTAGGCCGTGTGAATACCCAGAAGACTTGACCGAAGAAATCGAAGTTGCCAAAAGATGTGGAAAGCCATACTCAAATACTGTTGAGGCAGATCGATTCGCTCTGTCGGCAGAGTCGTTGCTGCAAGGCCACCCCCCAGTTCGCGTGACAGCGGGCTTTCTCCGACAGTCGGTTTTCAGGGCGTTCTTTGGCTATCTTTGGAATAGCAATGGCCAAACACCTGGTCATCCTCCTCCTCCTCCTCCTGAGGATAACGTCGAAGTTCACGATCGCAGCGAAGAGCTGACTGGGGCAGATGTTGGCGGGAACGTGATGGCAA